CTTATTCTTTTATTACTAAATGTGTTACCAACCCATTGTAGAGCCGGGTGTTAATAAGTTTCATAATTTATCGATCAATTCAAACCATGTCGTAGGTGTCGAAGGTTTATCCAATCACGTCTGAAAAACTAAATATGAATACAAAGCTCGACTGTGATCATATTGGGACAACACCCAGTGCACACAGGAGCAATTACGATAAAACAAGTTAAATTTTTATCGATTTCCCCTTGACCCTCATTATCAATGCACCTTGTAACTCCGGGAAAACTTAATGTAACTTAGTTTGTAGATGACCAACAGCTACAAAAATAGTACACAGGGTGGGCTAGTGAGTGGCCAACTTTCTTCCTATGACAAGACTGATACGGTCTATGAGTGAGTATTTCGCTAGCGATAGCAAAAACAACGACAAGCGACAAGCGTGTGTTAGTTACGCTTAACTCAAGTAAACGTCTAGCATTGGAACTGAATCAGACTCATTTCGGCTCATCATGTTATAGTCTGTGAGCAGTTAAGTGTTGGATTAAAGAAATAACTATTCTCTTCCAAGTTGTACTAATTAAGAATTTGTTCATGCTTGGCGTGCGTATATCGAGTTATGATGCATGCGGGAAAGTTGGAGAGCACGAAAGATGCGTAAGAGTTGCTCGAGGCGCAGCCGAGAGAAACTCTATCTTCTTGACTTCTTCACTTCCTTAGTGCATCCATAATTCGATATACGCACAGCTAAAAACACGAGCAGATTCTTTTATAACATAGCTGACAAAAATGCTTGCTTTTTGATTAACTGCAAAATTCTCGTAACGCGCCACACAGAAAAACAAACGCTTCTATTGGCTGGTTAAAAACACACTTCAATCGTCTAGTTTGAAAAAAAATTCTTTGTGTAGAAAATTTGCTCATTTATTCGTTAACGAACAATGGAAACTAAGCAGAAACAAAGGTAAAAGAGTCTTAAAGTCCACCTGAAGTTAAAATACTCACATGTTCGTAAAAAGTCGTGGGGTATCGTTTGGATTCGGTGAAAAGATTTTTATGTTTTGCTCGGCGAAATCCAAAAAACTTTTCTTTTGAGCGAAGACGACTGTCATCCTACTTTATATTCATTTACGAACAATGACTGGTCATTACGGCTTCTTGAGAAGACCTAGCGGCAGTTGTTTTTGTGAGTAATAAATTCTTCTTGTCTTCTTACGGTGTAATTTGTCTTGTCGTTGCAAGAGTAATTTTCCTTCTTCAGTCGGATTGTTCGGCGATAAAAAAAGTGCATAATTTTTCGCTATTGCATGAGCTTACTTAATATAATGAACTTGTTTTGTAACGGATAAACAAACGTTAGAAACAGAGGAGGATATTTCCCCACACAGACCAATTTGAGGTCTTTTTTCAGCTGAATGTCAGTCTTTACGGCAGACATTTCAACGATTCAGGCTCTAATTATTTGCAAAACATCTTCACCGCTTTCAGTGCTGTTGGTTTGAGTGGCTAGAAGCTAAATTCCAAAAATGCTAGGACGTTTTTCATCACTGCCGTAGATTTTTGGGTACTTAGTACTTAGGAAGAGAAAAGAAAAACACAACTGTACACGTCATCATGAAAAAAATCTTTCTTTACGCACAGGCGTGCGTAAATAAAGATTTTGTTATATAGGGCAAGCGCGCGCTATGTTATAACATTTGATTTCTCACCGTACTAGGCGGATCGTTTACCAAAGAAATCTCTCCAAAGATATCCACATGATTGCCGATCAGCCAGACTGCACTGTGATATGATCTTACCCCGTGGCAGGCGTTTCACACGAAGGAATAGGGAAAATAAAGGCACTCGTGAATATAGAGGGTGTGCGAGTATATAAAAGGTACGCGAGCTCTCAAAGGGCGCGCGATTACACAAAGGACGCCCTTGCAAGTAAAGGACGCGCGTGTACACAAAGGGAAATCGAGTCTAAAAGGCGCTCGAGTAGGGTGCGAGGATACACAAATGGGGCACGCGAGTACGCAAAGGGTGCGCGAGTACACAAACGGGGCATACGAGTGCACAAAAGGGCGCCCAAGCGCTCTCGTCGCCTTTATTCCCCCTTTCCCTTCAAACGCCAACTAACATTAAAACACTTGGGCACTACCAGTTCAAAAAATGATACAAATTATAATAAACTCACCTAAGTAGTAGGCCAGGTAAAAAGACTAAAAAATTACTGTATTTCCAGGGTAGGACGGCAGCATACTTACATCAGTAACGGTGCGGAGTTTGGTGGGATCAAAGACAAAATTGGAATAAAGGTATTACCGTCTGGTAGAACTAGTAAAACTCAGATTTGTAAATGTTGAAATATATAGTACAACTTGGTTTCAACTGGCTGGGAGTGTGAAAAGAGACTCAGAAATACTTTGAGAAACAGCTTGAAACACATTATTGTTACTTTTAACGATGAACCTTGTGCTATAACTAAATTTGTACAAATGAGTAGTGTTGGTGTTTTATTTTAACTGATAACACAGATTTGCTTCGTGGCATTCAAATAGGTATATCTAAAGAACTTTGTTTGTTTCTATATCCACTGTTGCACAACCATTGTTACAGAACTATTTCGCACAGTCGCCAGAATTTTGAAAGTCAACTCCAAAATTAAATACTAGCCCAGTTCCTTTAATCTTGTTCATAACCTCGTTTTCAAACTTTTCGTTCAGATCTGAGGTAAAGTAATTTTTCCAGTCGCCAATCTGTCCTTTACGTAACAGTTTAGGTCCTTCAGCACTGTCACCTAACCAGTAGTTTGAGGCATTCATCATCATTCCTTTAAAGGTACACTGCTCAGCTACTTTATTTATGAGGTCCTCTGTTACTGGTTTTTCAAGAAACTCGGCAATTATCCGAACTTGGCGTGACAAGTCCTGAAGGTCAAAAATTCAACAATTGATCAGTCAATAACCATCCCGATCTCACTGTGGTGAGCTGCTTCCAAAAGCAAAATTAAAGTTTGACTTAAGTAATGCAGCTGACTTAAATTTTTATAGATAGGTTACAAGTTTAGGCGTAGCATCTCCATCTTTATCTCTGTTGAGTTTTTACGTATATCAAAGGGATACTGCACGTTGCATTATTTTGTGCAAAAACCAACAAACGAACTTCTTAAGATAGGATAACAAAAGGGGTTTACAGAATATATATCTAATCTACAATGTAAACTTGTCACTAATTATATGGTAGCGCGTACTAATTCTCTACCCGTAAAGAAACTAAACTGAGCTGAAATAGGAAAGAATCATCTACAAACACTTCTCACCTTCTTTAAGTCTTCAAATCTCAGAAATAAAACATTGGGATCATCTGCATGTTTCCACCAGCCAATCACGTGATCATTCCACCGACCATAGGACACTACACACACACACAAAACAGTTTCTCTGAGTTCCTTTTTTCACCTTGGTGATTAAACAACAGTAATGACAACAAGGTGGAAACTATGATGAACAATTCACTGCAAGCTGCGCTGAAGAAAGAGAAATTACACTATAATGGGCAGTGTTATACAGATGAAGGATAGCAATATCCTTGCAAAATTCTGCTAAAGAACAAACAAGAGAAAATTACACACTCGTTGCTGGTGCATATTGCCTTTTTTCTTGCCTATCAGTTTCTATAGATTTTTACACATGAAACAGTAACATCACAATATAAGGAGGGGGTTTACTTCGAGCATGCACAGGCTGGTATTTAAACCTCACCTTTTCCTTCCATAAACAGCTTTGCAAAGAACTCCCAGGGACCATTATATCCTGCCTCTGAACCATGGTCTTTCATAAATTCATAAAACGATACTGCAACATCCTTTGGATTTCGTGCAATGTAAATATACTTGCAGATTGTAGAATTCTGATTTCCTTTAGGTATGACGTCGTATGTTAGATGGCTATGAAGAAGGCGTGGACTGGGGAGAGCCCGGATGTCTGGTCGATCCGGGCTAGTCCCACGTTCTAAAAATGGAACTCTTTCGAAAATCTTTCTTGAACTCTTTTCACCGTTATTAAAAAGTTGCCACAATATTTCCTGCAACCAGGTTGTTCCTTAAAAGGAAAGATAAGCCATGTCGAAGGAACTGAACAACAACAACAGAAAAGATGGCAACTAGCTATCTAACTAATCCCATCTAACTGTGTACTGCTAAAATCAAGGGATAGGTTTCAAAAGAACCTGTGGTACTGCGTTGGTGGCGGCCAGGGGCATATGGTTTTATCAAGTGAGTAGTTAACGTTAACTTGCCACCGTGAAAATAATCAAAAGTTGACGTTTCCATAGCTAGGGTTCACCAGAGCTAAGACAGTCCGTCTTACGCTTAAATCTTCTTATAACCACTTCGGGTATTGACCCCAAGTATTAAGTAAGCTTGATAAAAAACCGAACTTTTGCAAGCTTGTGTCACGGATGAACCGGCGTTTTCACGAAGCGATGACTTAAAAGATATTTTAACTATGCGTCAAAAACTTTTAGGGACCCCTGATTGACCACCATCTTGAAGGGGAAGAAAATGTTAAGCAAGTCTCAGCATTTTGCTATCGCACTCTTGCAATCCTAAAGAAATCGAGGAATTTTCTCGCCCTAGTACTCTCCAAGTTGTATTATAATTGTCTTATCTATCATAATTTACCACATCACATTGTTAAACGCCTCCAAAGAATGCAAACAGCACGTACGTGCTTTATTGTAGGCAAACTGGTTGAAAGAGAGGATATCATAGAGCTTAACTGGTTACCTGTTAGAGAACATATTGAATGGCCGCTGCTGAAGTCAGTTCCCAATGGCGATTTTTTCTCACGAAAAGCCAGGTTACTTGCGACTGAAGTAACTTAAGCACAATCGAACTCTTAGGTCTAGTGCAGCCACGCAGCTTGAAATCCCACTAGTATCATACATCTATCAACATCAAGCTAATAAAAGCTGTAACATTTTATCTCAATATATAAGGAACTGTAGTGACTTTAGCGAGTTCTCTAAGATGATTTTTAAGTATTTAACCTTTTAGTTTAATGAAATTTCTTTTTATTGTAAATAGGTCTTTTATTTGTACATATTTTAAATGCTTACTTATCTTACCGCTCTTACATTTTTACATTACAAATGTTATTTTTTTTGAGCAGATGAAGAGCCACCTGGTGGAAATGTTGAATAAATCCATTACTATTATTATGTATTATGTATTATGTATTATTATTATTATCATTATTAAATCGTTCTAAAAATAAACTGGCCGGTGAAAACGCCATGACACGGGCAATACAAAGGGGGTCAATTTTTGATTTTGAAAACCTTCCTTGGTCTAACCCTTGCCACACCCCTCCTACATTTAATGGAGTAGCCCCCCACCTCCCCCCACTTCCCACTCTTCTTCCCGACTTCCTTGAAAAACCTCGTCGGCCCCAACGGCTTTTCCCTTAGAGAATGAAAGGGGGCTTGTCTCTTTTCTAAAAGAATAATTTTACATACCTGACTTAGGATAACTTACAACAAAAACATCTTCTGTTCTCGTCTCAAAATTTACTATGTAACTGTACAGGACTGCTGGATCTGGGGTGAAAAATTGGTGAATCGGAACTCCTTGAATTAAGAATGTGCTTGGTGACGTCCATTCGCCTTCACGTTCTTGAAAAATTGGAAACTTTTGACTGCTCATTGGAACTGGAAAATTCAAAAACGTCCAATAAAGTCAATAATGGTTCACAACATTAAGGCGTGACATGACACAGTGAATGGTTTGGAAAAAGGAGTCGTGTCATAAGTAAGCCGCGGCGTGGCGGATCGTCCCAGGCGCTGGGTTTAACCCAGCAGTGACTGACTTCACATCACTACCGGACATGTTGAAACGCCAGTTACTGTTATCGACATTCCTATTCAGGAATACACCAACCCGGACGATCCGGCACTCACTTCCCTTATCTTCGATTTCTCTCCCCAATCTTCCCTTTTTCCTTGCCCCACTGTGAGCTACACTGGCTGTTTTCATTTCACGTACACACATAGACTCAACCTCGCTTCCAGGGCCCTCTCCTACTCCATCCCCGGAGCGAAAGAGGACGAGTAGGAGAGGGCCCAACGAAGCGTTAAGGCACCATACGCTCCGTCCCTCGCCAAGCCTGTGTGGTAGGCGGTGATTTTGTTAGGGCGAAGAGATGATTTTCGAGGACGCGCGCACACGAAGGGGAAAGAGGGGAGTGTTCCCCCCTATCGCCATATACTAACCCCGCAGGCTACCCATCTCCTTCGTAATATGCACGGTATTGACTGGAGTCTGAGAATCTTCTTTTGTCACGCAACGGCTGCGTGGCCATGAAAGACGAACAAGGCGCAGATAAAAAAGGTTAGGTTAGCCAACTAAAATATATTATGAGAGATCACGAGAGAAGCTTTCCACTTAAACAAGTGGCGTAAATGACACTACAGAAATCTGGGAACTAGAATGACAAATCCGCGTTTGAGTCAATAAAACAATCTTTTGCAATTAATGAATTATGCGTAGAGTCTGCGTAGGGTTGCTAGCTGGCTGTTCGTGAAGCATTATTCAAACCATACAGATTGATAACTAAGCAACGTCCAACAGGAATTCTATATGGTCGTTCAACACATTGTTCTGCTTAAGTATCTTACCTGTTCTTATACAAGCCTTGCCTTTCGTACGATCAGAGTCTGATAAGATCTCACTTGAACAATTCTCATTAATATACAGATTATCATACCTCATTTACATAGTTTGATTAGATTCCATACCCCGCGCATCTCTAATGGCCTTCCCACGTCAAGTGACAAGTGATAAGAGCCACTAAAACAAATAATTGGCTCTAAATCTAACCACTTCAACGAAACTTAGAACTTTAAAAAATCAAAAGCACGCATCAATTGAAACAAGAGCAATTTTATATATAGACAGCAGCGTCCTTTTCACCCCTCCGCGGCCGCCCGTAGGGAGGGTTAGTCCTTTACTGCATCTTTTAACGAGTTATTAAAAACTTCTCACCAGGGCTCCTGCTCCTCACCAAGTACAAGTGCGTTTTTTTAACGTAACCTCAGAGGTACATTGATCGCCGCTGCCATCTTCAACCTCTCACTTGAAGTCAGTTTTTGACTCGCCCCAACTTACTGGTAGTATTAACGTCCAAGATGGCGGGATAGCATTACTATGAACCGCGCCGCAAAATACACCTGCTTTATAGCAGGCTAAAAAGCGGGTCGACTTAAAGGTTGACAAAACCAAAACAAATGTTATAATTGTAACTAGCTTTTACCGAAAAACAAACAACAAAATGGACATCGGCAAAATAATTACTTTATTCTTAACTTTACAGAAATATTACAAGGGACGTAAAAACTGGAATGCTTTCCTCTCTGAAAAGGAGAGAACAAGAGCGTAGCGAGCATTTAAGTGGGGAGGGGGGTGGAGGATTCACACTGTGTCACACCCTACACTTGGCAGATTGTCACGTCGACCGGACAACGATCCACAACTGATGAAAAAAGTGAAATTTTTTGCTTGTGCAGTGAGCGTGTTTGTGTGTGTGTGATGGGGGAGGGGGATGGGATAAGTCCACAAAATACCTGCATAGATACCGTCATTCAAAAACTGCAAATTTCAAGATTTTAACATGGACTGTGCTTTATCGATTTTCTGGCGTTTTGGGGAAGAAACTAGATATGTATCTTATAAAGGTCGCAGGTGGAGAGGTCACAGGCACCCCAGGATTCTCCTCTAGCTTCGCCCCTCGAGGAAGGCGTAATCCACAAGCATAGGTCATACGCCGGTACGTAACAGGAACGACAGGAGAGACTGGAGGCTACTCATGGCTTATCGTCTGGTGCAATAGGAGTCCTAACACACCACCTCTCTGAGCTGCATTGTACCTCAAGGATCTTTCCTGTTCGAACGCTTCTTCGAGTTTGAGCCACTACAAAAATGAAATATATAATAGAAGCAAGTAAAACCAGCGGGGCTACTTGTCATATCAATCCGGACACTTACATGGTAATCCTTACTGTGAACCGTAAAAGATCTTTACTCTATACATCATGATGTTGCTTCCTAAGGGTGGATTTCCATTGTTGCGTAATTTTTACGCGACACGCACGTAAATTTTACGCGCATATATAAATTAGAGGCAATTTATGATAAAAGAGACATTGAACGGAAGGTCGCGCGTAAACGTAAAACTTGAACCTCACACAGATCTGTAAAAGGACTAAAAAGGGCTCACAGATGCATTTTATGGGTGTAAAAGAGACAAGTAAATTTTCTAGTTTAGTGATTTATTCGTATCAAAAGAACGAGCATTTTAAGAAGATAAAGGAATGTAGTACTGTTCTAAACCAGGTACGTGTATGTCAAAGAGGTACTATCTGTCAGTAGAAGGTTGACGATACAGGTACCTTTTCTGGGTACAAGAGGTTTTTCTCGCGTGCAGCGGAAATTTTCGGTGTTGGCCGAAGGCCGAAGCCACGAGCGGCGAAGCACAGAAACCGGAAACCGCGCTAGAAAAGTCTCTGGCACCCAGGGTACTTTTCTGTCAAAAATGTTTCATAAAAGGGTGTGGACCTCAGGGTCGAGACTTCCCGTATAAAACTTCGGTGAGTACCCCCCCCCCTCCCACCCACTGAGCTATTAAATCCTCCATATCACAAACACACAACCTCACCTGTTGTATTCTTTGAAGATCAATCTCCGCTCGTCGAAGTTTTTCCCAGCAGTAATGTTTTAAACAAGTTCGTTTGGAAGCCCGACAGAAATCCCCAGTTTCTTCAAAGACGTTGGTAACTAAGGGGCAACCACACACATCAGTGGGAGATATCTGTTAAAACAAACAGATAATATGTGATGAACAAAACAGCAACACTTTGTGCCTATTGAATAATATTGTGTTTTACTGTATAAACAGTCGTACAAGTTTCTATCACTAGAAGCAACTTACCCTCCCTCCCCTTTCAGCTAGCACATAACATGAAAAGCATTCAAGAAAGTACACTTATGTTTTTTCATATTTGGGATGCAAGAGTTCCACTGTACCTTACTATGTCAAGGTAAACCGCGGTAAAACTAACTAGAATATACCTTTGGGTCCTTTGTGTGTTCAGGGCACAGAACTCGCAGTCTTTTACAGTAGATTTTTTGTTGTGAGTTGTAGTAATCACAGAAGAGATTCCTGAGAAAAATTAAGGGTTAATTGTAATATTGAAGATTATCACACAGTATGTGTATCTGTTTGTGACTGCTACAAAGAATCGAGTTGAGTAGAACTTGCAGTCAGTGGGAGAGGGAGTCAGGGTAAAAGAACAAAAAGGGGAGGGGATCTTTTGATTCGTCTGCACCTCTATTTTTCCCCTCATTTTTACATGACTCGACTAAATTCTAGAGTTGGCATGCACCCCACCCACCCCATCCTTAACCAGCAGCCCTACACACTCCACCCCTAACTGACAAGCGCATTCCCAGCAAGAATGAGGATTACCAACAATCTATTTTCATGTGTAGAATAACTGTACTAAAACCGTAGATCTAGGTTGGTGCACTAACTCCTCATGAAAAAAAGAAAAACAACAGCAATGACATAACCTACCCAGCACTTTTGTAGATGGACCCAAATGTCGTCAAACTTTCATTCTGAGGGAAACGAAAGGAAAAAAAAAATTTCCAATAGTTTTAAACCTTCACAAAGTTTCTATGTGCCTTGCTGAAAGCAAGAGGGTCATCTTATGGACTGAGATGGGGTCAAGGTCAGATAGAACATAGCCAATATGGAGCCATCTTGACCTGAACAAGCTAGATTAAAAAAGGATTTATTATTATGAACAAGGTAAAATCTTTTCTTGCACGACAAATTGGGTTATCGTGCAGGCAAGACAGACCTATATTGCCCACTGGCCAAGCCAACCAGAACAAAGGATTGGCCTCTTCTTGCCGGCTCACGGGGCCAGCCATAAAAAAACTTTATATATATGTTGTAGTTAATTTTTTATCTCAGGTAATTTTTATTTTTCTTTTGTTTTTGGGTATGTTAATGTATGCTAATGAAGTTTAAACAAAAGAAAAAGATAAATTACCTGAGATAAAAAATTAACTACAACATATACATTACTATTCATACTATTGAGATTTTTTAAAGTACTCTTGTTTTATGATCCACAACATCCTAATACACTGAATGACAGAACACTCCTGATTTTCACTGGACTATAACACCCTCAGCATGTATACCTGGAGGTGGGAATTGAAAGGTACAAGTGCTTTCGTTTGGTTTGGAAATTTTTTCTTTTTTTAACAGCTATACTGCTACATACAACTTCCACATACGAGCAAGATTTCTCATGGAAACAGGAGGTTAGTTCCTCCAAAAGAGCTACCTCAAAGGCTAACACAGCTTAACTTTTACTTCACGTACCTTCATGAAGCACTTCTCCATGTGTCTAAGGGCCACTTTAGGGGCCAGTGGCAGACCACAGGTGATGCAGTGTATCTGAAGATCTGTGTCAGCATCTGCTTCACTATCCTGTGCCTAACACAATGCAGTTCATTGTTAACTTATTGTTAATGAAGGAACAGATAAAGTACTTGGTTTTATTTACGCTGTCAAAAGCTCCCGTAAGCAGACAGCCTCCTCAATCAGCAAAAGTGTCTGTAACTAGAGCTGGGCGGTAACAGGAATGACTCTCATAAGCAACCATTACTGTTAGCAGTACATAGGATATGAGGTTACTTATTGGAGCTTGCACTGCTTGAAATAAGAACACTGCTACAGAAAATATGAATCATCGCTCAATTTACTGTCCAATAGGGTGGACTGTTTACCACATGAAGGGGGACCAAAGAAGGGGATTTTTTCCTTGTGGTGCCTCCTTATGGAGCTTAGAAAAAAAAGACTAAAGTGTCCTCAGCTGGCTATGGGTGTAGCAATGAATGGTACATGTATCTATATAAGTATTACGGAGTCTACACATGGGTGCAAATGGGGCTTGTCAAGGTGACGATAAGTACATGTACATATACAGCTGTTTGCTTACAAATTACTGTACTGTATTACTTACTGTATTTGACTTGACATTTTTGCATGACTAACTGACAAATTCTAAACCATAGGCTTGAATTTGACAAACCAAACTGGCACTAACAAGCCATACTAGTTTAAGTGTGCTTGATCTATCAGCATGCAAAGAAAGTAGTGTCCGATGGCCCGGGGCTTTCACTATTGGCCTAGTGTATTATGTCCTTAACTTTCCCCACGGGCAAGTGAAGTAGTTCGAGGAAGTCACCTTACAAAAGAACTGTGAAATCAATTCTGGTCATCAAAAAATTTGGGGGGCTAGCTGAAATGATGTTTGGGCTAATAAATGCTACAGTCTCAGTCAAAATGGTTGGGACACTTTGGGGTCTCCTTGTCCCCTCAATGTTGGTGTACAAGATTTGGTGACCAAACCGCAATAAACAACTTTGAGAGGGACGAGGGGAGCACGAGAAGGGAAAAAACAGCATTTGGTTAAAGTGTCCCAACTATTTTTGTCTGAGACTGTGTCAGGGAGGAATTTGAAGGCGTGTTGACAGATACAGAGGTTAATCTGTAGGTCGGTCACAAGCGACGGGCTTTCGGTTTGTTGGGTATCCATTGTGTTTCGCGAACGTTTCTATAGCAGTGAACTAAGTTATTTGGGCATAACAACATAACACAAAGAATGACCAGTTCGCAGAAATTTCTTGGGCAGAGTAGAGTATTGTAAAATAAAAGGAACTGAGTGTGCACTAAACCGTACACAAATAGCTTTCCTGTGGCCGATTGATAGCATGACAATATAGCACGTGCATACTATCTACGTAAGATTCAGGGTTTTCATATACAGAGAGGCGCTCGAATGTGCCACATTTCTCAAAAAAAATGTGTGGAGAATAATAGAGAAGGTCTCTTTGCCAAGAAAGAGTGTAGGAACAAGGCTCAAAGGGACGCATTTCTAACTTAAGGGCAAGAGGCGAAAGACAGCTGAAAGAGCGATTAAGCGATTTCGAGAGAAAGGGGGAAACTTTTCCTCAGTTTGGAGGAAAATGCAACAAGCCAGGATTATTCCCAAGACCTATCAGCGAGAACAGTATCCCGCTTTCTAAATTTCTAAAGATACTATTGACTACAAGCGCGTAAAAAGGGTGTCCAACAATAGTGTAACTGTTTGGTCCGACGCCAAAAAGTTTCGTAATGATATTCCAGGCTACTGCTGTGAAATCGACAACTTTTTATAAGTTGTTTACAACATATGTTAATTTGGCCTTGCGCCAAATGGTGACATCGGTTCTCATTCTTTATCCCAAATATACACCTTCCTGAATAACTCTAAAACAAACTACTGTGCCATAAATGTGGGACTTGAGGTACAAAACATGAATCATATAAAACGAGGACACTACCTATCCTTGAAACCTCCAAAAAAGCGTTCTACTCGACGTGTACACGGGTCACCGTACATTAATTCAATTAAGATATTTATAAGTTTCTTTCAGCGAACAATCGTGTCACCATGATCAAAGTTTTAATAACTTGTCTTACATGTATCAAGGCGATATAAACCTTGGCTATTTCAATTAAGTATGAAAGTACCTTATCCTTTTCTTTCTTAATCCATTATATATACCAGAGAGCTCTTAGAAAACGCCCTGGATAGTATGGTGACCCGTTATGGTGACCCGTCCAATCGTGTCTCCACCGGTACAAGATATTCGCGGCAAGATACACAGCCTGCGAAATAATGCGCGCAGTTTTGACTCATCCGTTGTTCACTCTTTAACCCTAATACGTAGAAAGCTTTTTTAATACCGTGGAATGTTGTAATTAAAGAAACAAAGACTTCTTTCCTCTATTAATTGTCTTCTCTCTTTCTATCCTTGAAATCTTTAATGTTTTTCCCGAAAAAATGGCTCCGAAACGTGCATATACCTGCCTAGCGATTTCCCGCCACTAGAGCCAACGAGGAGTCACATAACTAAAATTCCTCAAAAACACAGTCTCAGTCAAAATGGTTGGGACACTTTGGGGTCTCCTTGTCCCCTCAATGTTGGTGTACAAGATTTGGTGACCAAACCGCGATAAACAACTTTGAGAGGGACGAGGGGAGCACGAGAAGGGAAAAAACAGCGTTTGGTTAAAGTGTCCCAACTATTTTTGTCTGAGACTGTAGCTTCAGCTTGCCCGAATGGTAAGCTGTAAAAACGACTTTCTTTGCACCCTGTCTCCATGTAAAAAAAAAAAAAAATCAGTTGTCTTTATATTCTGATTAATATCATTATGATTTACACAACAGCAAAGTCTTTTTGTGGACCTTTGTTAAACAGTAAAAATCACCAGTAAATATTATTTTCTACATAGGGACTTAGGGTTATAAACTTATAAAGTGAAAAGGAAGAACAGAACGGTTACATTAAATAAATAAAAATTAATGAAACAAAGTTGGCTTTTACCTCTGTTTCTTCAATAGTAGCATTTTTGGTCTTTTCTACAAAAGCTTCAAGTTCATTTCTCAGCCTGTCAAGTTCTAACAACTTATCCTGAGCTTCCTAAAACAAATAGAAAAAGAATATTCAGGTGCGGATCCACACCGGTTTCCACCGTTTTACGGAAATCGGTCACATTTTTCATATTAAATATATTTTTAAAAATAAAAACACTTTCCAAGTTGAAATCTGGCCAATATCCCATCTGAATGACTCGGAAACCCAGGAAAGGGGACTTTAAGGAGTAAAAATCCTAACCCTAACCCTAACCCTAAACCTGGGGGAGCCAGCCCCCGGACCCCGCTAAAAGCTTGCGCCTTCGGCGCTCGTTTAGGAAATCGGTCAGTATTTATCCTAGATCCGCGCCTGATATTGTACTAGCAGGTGTCTTATAGCTTTTTCCTCTGCCAGCTGGGTGATAACACATTGAATAATTTACGTAATTGAAAGAATATGAATAGCTAAAAAATAAACAGTCAGTATAGGCCAAACTATTCTCCTAGGCTTGGCTAAATCTACATATTAAATTATGCAACTTAGTTTTAGAGTTTGAATACTGAACAAAATCAATTTAACAGTACCTGCTTCTTTTTAGATAATTCCTTCAGAGTTTCTTCAGCCTTAAGATCAGCAACACTTGGAGTTTTTTTCCACTCTGCCATGCGCTGTGGCAAAATCTCTTGAATACGTCTGTTAAATAACAAGCACTAATTATCTATCCTGTCCCTCGCAGCCAGTTGACTTCCTTTCATCAGTATTTTACCCATTATAACCTCTGTCCTCTCTTTCAACTGTTTGACTAATGATCTCTGATAAACATTGAACTTTTACTGATCATATTATTACTTTTGTCATCTTATAATATTGATACTCAACTTCAATCAACAACCTGACAGAATTTGACCCAATACTACATGTTCCTACATGTAGCTTACATTACAAAATTTCCTGAATCCCACATTGTGATATCACTTAATTTCGAATACCGTTTATTTACTTATTTATTCATTTATTTATTTATTTTGTCACATTAGAGCTTGTACATACTGCAGGAAATATGTAGCAAAAGATGGTGGTGGGGAAGCCTAAAATAGAAGCCTGGGTGTACCATTCTTAATTTCAATCCTGAATCTCATTACCATTTTTGTCTAGCTGGCCTTCAAATAAACTAAATCACAGATCCCGAGAAACCTATTGGGAACCCTTGCCTAGTTATGTTGGCACAGCTCTCAGTTTTGGGTGGGAAATTATTGTAAATCAAGGTGATGTATTTGTGGAGTCCAGACAAGTGTAATAACTACAGTAGTTATGAATGGCAAAGGGTAGTTGTTCAACCGCATAAACATAGGTTGTCTAAGTTTCAATGCCTCATATTTGTAACTAAGAAGAGTATTACAACAGACTAATGCACCCGATAGTCCCTGATTGGATTCAATAGATAGTGTCCCACAGAACCAGTTGGGTGCTCTAACCTCTAAGTTAAGGAGGAAATCACAGTCAATGATTTATAGACTTTGTTAAGTAACAAAGTGAAAATTCACTCAGTAGAATTTGGGCACCTGACAGCTAGCTGAATACCGCACTCGTCACTGCAGTATTTAGAACCCACACGAGCTGTCTTAGTGCATCCAGGTCCATAGCACTGTCTACAGCCTGGAAGTTCATCCAGCTTATCTCTTTCCTCAGAATAATCAGCAGACATTCTCATCTTGTCTTCAATAGACATTATTCTCTTTCTCTTACGTGGTCTTTCATTTGATTGCCTTTGTTTTTCCTTTCAAGAAATGGATACATTACAGGTCAAAATTTAGTCCAGGTTAAAATTTTTTAACCTACTATAAAGTGATTCTCAATTTCATTTGTCTCTTTGCCCCTATTCATGAATAATCAGGGCTAGGAGACAAAGCAGATTAAGAATCACCCTAGATTAAAAAATTTTAACCTGAATTTAATTTTCAACTATATAAATAGGTGAAAATTAAATTCAGGTTAAGTTCTGTACTAAGCAAAATAGCCGATGAGTGAATGTTGTGAGTGTTATGAGTGGGATGCAGGAGGGTGTCGCTTTGAGTATTTATTACGTAACATTCCAGGATATATTGATTTTTATTTGTTTTCATACATTTTTAATCTTTTAAAATCATTTTTGTTGTCATGCGTTTTATACATGAGCCTCCCGCTCTTTTTTTTGGGCAACCCCATCCCACATCATGACATAAATAAATCAATTGATTGATTGATTGAACTTGGTAAATGATTTCTTCCAGTAAATGATTTCTTCACTCATCAAATGATGTTATTTCCAGTTAAAAAAAAAACATACAGATACAGGTTACAGTGAAAGAGCTAACAAACCTTTCTGTTCTGAGAAGATTTAGCATGCTTCATCTTCACTGCTTTTCTCTGCTTCTTTGGTGTTACACTCTGTTTAAAAAATTTACAGGGTTATAAATGTTTCTGATTCTCTTTTGATTTGATTCACAGCAGACAAACACATTGATCAGAACCTTCAAGTTCTCCAGTATTTGTTTTTACATGTAACAAAAAATAATATGTGATGACCACAACAAAAAAGTCCACACATCACTCATCTGCCCATCAGAAGAAGAGCATACAAGCTGATAAATGATATAAATAAATTGACTTTAAATTACTGGTAACCCAGTAGGCTTTATTGTGGCCCACAAATAAACCATACTTTGAAAATAAACATAACAAGGCTAAGAATCCCAAAAAGCTGAAGGCAAACCCAGTTGGATATAAACAAGCGTAAGTGAGGAGGTGATCCAGACTACTAAGAACAAATCCAACTAGCAGCTAGGACGGGATTTAATTTTGAGCCTCTGGATTGCAATTCCAGCACTCTAAACACTCAGCCATGCTGCCTCCTCCTGGTTGAATGATCAACACTTTACCTCTATGTCAACATCAAGATCTTCCCTTCTTGCCTCTTCTTCCTTAAGTATGTCGCGGTACACTGTGCCTCCTCTTAAAAGGACCTAGAAATAATGAGCAATCATGACTTGTTTCTTCTAACCAAACTACAAAGTTCTAAACTACTCATAAATTATCAGAATAAATATGTGTCTGAAGACGAATACCTCACTACAAACTTTAGGTGTTGGTGCAGTGAATAAATTTCAAACAACATCAAATTTTACATCGTAGAAGAATATCCTCACCCTTGATTTGACAAGGCACTGACGCAGGCGACATTTCTGTCTCATTTTATTAGGTCCACCAAACTTCTTCATGTCCTGTACAAACACACAAAAAGTCATGCAAAACACACATCCCTCACCTAAATAATCCTTTGCTCAAACCTATCACCTCTGCTGTTTCATGGACACATGACAAGAAAATTTTTTACTCAAGTTTGTAGACAAGACAAAAATAAATAAAAAATTGTAAGAAAAAGTGGCAAATGGTATGAAAATCAATTCTTGCTTTAACTTTTCCAATCATAAAGTTGCTTTGTCTCATACTGCTATAATCTGGACCTTGGGCCTGGAAGAATTCTTTCTCCACTAGCTACAAGTATAGAATGGTCCCTACAAGTGTCCATACCTTACAAAAGTCACATTGGCCACAGTCTTCTGTTGTAAGACATGCTACACATTCTCCACATGTCCTTCGTGACCTCTTGCGATCACCCTGTAGTTGTAGTGACAGTAGTTTATCTCATTATTTTAGTAGCAAAAGCACAAGTCAGGGATATTCATGTTGCACATTATTCAATTACCTAATGCAACACTGAACCTGGTACATACACTTCTAACCTGTGTACACGTAAATGTGAAAGTCAGTCTTACACTAAGCAGCAGTCTTAAACTTAGGTTGCCTAACTACATACAGTACCCCTCAAAAGTCAGTTGACAGTCTCGACTTGAGAATCGCACTCGATTGTCGAATCTCAAAACTCGAACTAATCAAGTTTCAAGATGTGAGAATCGAGTCTCGAGACGCTAGAATGAAGTTTTGAGTTTCGAGAAACTCACATTTTTGAATACTTATCACTTGAAAGGGTTGATAAATAACAATAGCCATTTGCACAAACAGGGAAAATTCACCTGACCACCAGTGCTCAGCATGTATATGTCACATTTAAGTTTTTATAGTTCAAGACTCAACATTTCCAGGGAAATTACATAAGGTTCAAGCTTTAGGGGGATAGGAAGTAAAAAATTATTTATTCAAATGATGTGAAATCTTTTTGTGAAGAGAAGTGCAAACAGAGTGACATGTTTTGGTAGAGCACAGCACATTTAGTGACATTCAAACTTTGATATTAGCACTCATTACACTTTCTAAAAGGAGTTCAAGTTATCAAAGGACTGAAAATCATATGGAAAATGGCCTATAAAACCTAGGGGAAATCAATGTTGGCTCAAGATCATGCAAGTTCTGAGTTACCAAGCATTTGAGTGTTTGCAATCAAAATCAGTACTGACTGGCAACAGTTGACATGACATTAGTAAACAAAACCTGACAATAAATGGCAAGTAACATTATCAATGGCAGATACTGTCAATTTTAAGTCAGCAAGTTTTTTTAAGCTCAATTACCATCCTATACCATGCAATACGAAATGTACTTTACCATACCTTACCATACCGTCGTCAGATTAATCAAAGATCAGCACAAAAGATAGTGGCAGAAAGCAAGCTTTCATTTGTCCAACCCGATTCAGTTGCACTGGCTCTTGTCATGTTATCTCAACAAAACAAATGGGCTGAGTGTACATGTGCTATAGAGTTCAATGTCCAGCTATAATGTATTACAAATCACAGACTGCATGTTGTGACCAAAATGAACTTACTTCATCCTTAACCAGGTGCTGTTTTTCTTTCTTCTCTAATACAATATTATCTTTCTTTTCTGGTTTTGGTTTCTTTACTCTGTACTTTATACAAAGATCTGAATCACTTTCTGTACAAGAAAAGAAAAAAAACGACGCACAATATTGTAAAGTTCAAGAAAGGAAGAAGTTTAAATGATGAAGATTTAGTCACCGGTATAATACTATCTGGAAAGAACTATTGTCCAATAATTTACATTTTACAGTCAAAGTTCAGTCAAAGTTAGACCATGGTTTGAATAGTAGTAACTTTCTACAATATGATACAAGACTGTGGTACAAAGGTAAGGAAAATTTTCATTCTACATTTACTGCCAGAACATGGTGGGTAACTCACCTAAGCACTCCCTGCAGTAAAACTGCTTGATTTCTTTTGCCTCCAGCTTGGTAATACCAATACAATCACCATGGAACCAATCATTGCATTTGTCACAACAGCTGTACAAAACAAAGTAAAACAAATAATTAATACCATTTTTAAACTAACATTTGAAAGAAAATGGAGAAGTGTGGAAGGGTATCATTAGTGCTGAAGATTATGATGCATTCAAGATTAAAATGAAAGAATTGAGAGAAAATAATGTAAGTCAACAGCTGCAATATCATGTACACATTTGTTCATGCACTAGTATGAGGCCTTCCAATGGGTGTCATGCTATCACTTTGTCAGTCATATTCTGAGACTACCTGTCACCTGGTAGGTTAGGAAAAAATGTCACTGCTGCATTTTAGCTCAGATGAAAATTTCTCTGTTGGTTTGGCATCAACTTTTGTGAAACTCAATTTGTAATTTATGGCAAATATAGCATCTGGAAAGAATGAATAATATTAATGTTATTAACCTTTCTCCGTCGGGGATAAATCTTGTACAACACCATGATTAGAAAATGTTTCAAAGAAAACAACAGAAAAAGTTTGGAATAATAGAAGAGAGTTTGTTATTTGGCTCTTGAAACAGCCAAAATGCAAAATTGAACAGATGTCACTTTCACTATTTAAAAAACGGATTGTTGCTGTCCTCCTTTTCTCTTTATTGTCGGTGCTTTCTGAGAGGATTGTTGCCAATTTTTGGGGCCATGTCACCTGTTGCTTTTCCCTCTTGGAAGGCCTCTTATACACACAGTCCCTTAAAATTAATATTGTGCCTCTACAATGCACTTTTCATCAGCGTACTATTTTGTAATGATTTTCTCTTTACTTGTTATTCAACAAAGACTGTTTGAATTCACTGCCTATTAATTAAAGGAACCTGCAAAAATTCAAACATAAAGACAGTGATCTACCAAGTCATATCACAATACAATGAAGCCCTGTTAACTTAAGGGGACTTGAGGGGTACCCAACAGGCCACATGTGTGGATTGATAAAATCATTGGCAGTATTGGCTAGAGGTTAACCTTGCTTGCCAAAATACTTGTTTGCTACCTCACCTTAAATTCAATAAAATTAGGGTTAGGGTTACCTTAAGGCTGATCTAGACGGTACAATTTTTGCTTACAGCTATCATGCAAGACTAGCATACATCCTGACTTTATGTCAGATCGTGTCGTGTAAGTTAGACCCATGACATCCATACCACACGTGTGGATGTCGTTGTGAAAATTGTGCAAGTGTGGATGGTCGAAAGTCAAGACGTATGCTAGTCCTGCACGACAGTCGTAAGCAAAAATCGTACTGTTTAAATCAGCCTTTACATTACCATGTTATATACATAGCGGCATTGTAAGTAAGATTAAGATGTTCTGTTTAAATAAATAAAATATCAGGAAAGATTTATCCAGTATGAATAGCAATGTAACTGATATTGTAATATTTCCCACCAATAGTAAATTACAAATACCAGCTTACATCATAAATCGACTGGTGTCAGCAGTACGACAGATGCAGTAAATGGTGTCTTCTTTCTTGGACTTTTCTTCCTGTGTATCAAAGTAAAACAAATGTAAGTCAAAAACTACCAACTCAGTCAAGGAACATTATGTTGTAACTCAACTATGAAATGTATTAATTTTTAACTTGCAAAAGCCAACACATAAAGTAAACCACTGATGTAAACGCAAGGCCTAAATTGATAACTTTAAGCAAGGAATATAGGCTGGCAAAAAAGACTTAATAAATGCCTATTGAGTATTACTATAATATTTAAAATATGTAAACTGTTTCCTAATATTACACCCCCCCTCCTGCCCAAAGAAAAAAATTACATTAAATTTGCTGACAGCAGAACACAATTTGTTTTTTGGTAATAAATATTAGTACTATTCTTACATCTACAAAAAAGCATAGTATGTGTTGTGGTGTGGTTAGTATTTTATGCAGTCTCTCACAAGGACAAAGCTTTCTTTTCTTGATTTCTCTCCAAGTTCAAGTTACTGGCAAACCTCTAGTCTTAAGTAATTTTGTTTTTAATTTGTATAGGTAATAGCATGATTTCTAGTGATACTTGGCATAAATACCACAAGTGATATTTTGAAATGGTTATTTGTGAAATTTGAAACAATTTTGAAATATCACGTACAAATAATGCTATTATTTGTTTATTTATACTACTACCCGCACAAGGGTTATAATTTTCACATGTAGGTATTAAATGAAATTGCAGAAATTTCTCATGTAGTAGTATAACAGTTATAAACCACTCCCTTAAAATGCAGTGCTTCACTTTCTACCACCATCAGTTGACCTTTACCTTGGCTGCTTCTGCTTTCTCTTGAGAAGCAAGTAAATAATTCACCTTCGCTTGCCTTTCAGGTAAGCTGTTAAATTTACGAGCCACCTCCTTTAGCTACAAGAATTAATACAAATATTATTGTTACAAGTACATAGTATATGTCAACTGGAATAACCAGCCTAATATTATTGTTGCAAGCAAATGAAATAAGCAATCCAAAAAGTTTTCCAAATTAAAATTAGTAATAAGATAACAATGTCTGGATGGTCTTATTTGCTTAAAAATTTTGACTCTTTTTCCTATTTACTCATTCATTAACCAAGTTCAAGTTATGTCAGCCACCCTGAACTGCAGTAGACTTTAATAGGTGATCAGGCACAATTTCACTTGGGTGAGTGTGTATCCCCCAGGGGGACCAGAGTTCCACCCCTTACCTTTCTATATACCATTTTTGACTGAAAAAGGACCCCTTTTGTATAACTGCTGTAAAGGCAATGTCTCTTAAATATGATTACTATTCATTCATAATATTTCCCCAATTCTGATTGGCTAAAGTACATGCATAATTCACCATAACCAGTTGCTGATGACCAAATTTGGAAGAATTTTGTGTTTAGCGAGGAAATGACGTCAAAAAAGCAGCATTTTTGCAGGTTAATGCACCATTAACTGAGAAGACCTGGGGACGAGCTTATGGAGATCGACCCTTCTCGATCTCCATAATTCTTCATAAGACATTCAGTCTCATTCATTAATTGTTAAATAAATCACTTCACCAGAAAGTTTTCTTGTCTTTTTCATAGCCATAAAATGTGCCTTTTAGCCCACAATGTCAGATTTCCCTACCCTTTCATATACTTAAATAAATCACTTCACCAGAAAGTTTTCTTGTCTTTTTCATAGCCATAAAATGTGCCTTTTAGCCCACAATGTCAGATTTCCCTACCCTTTCATATACTTAAACTAGTGAAACCCTACCCTTTGATACACCTGAAGCCTGAAAAAATATGCCCCTGTTTGGTGAAGCCTCCACTTCTAGGCCATTTGCCACTTTAAAAACAAGAGGCTAGCTTTTGCAAAGACTTCTGGGATGGTTACTGGGGATGATCAGCTATTGGTCAATTTGTTTGCCCTGTTTCTAGTAACTGTCCCAGAAGTCTTTGCAAAGGTTAACTCAGCCTAGTTTCCTTCTCGTTTCTAAAGTAGAAAATTAAGAGGAGTAACCTAGTGGAATTTGTCACCCCCTTTTGTTTGGGAAGGGGCGGTTGGGACTAGATTTGTCGTATTTTGCTGAGAACCATAAAATGGCTAAGAGAAGAAACAAAAGCACCCTTGAAACAACACTTTTCCACTTAATCTCTCAAAAACAACTGACTCAAAGCAGAAGAAAATGATATGAACAACTCCAAGGGAACTGAATACATTTCAAGGGACCTTATAAAAAGCCCCAAGGGACTTCTGATTCTCTGGTAAATTCTCTCGGAAAGTTGCCTCCTTCTCCCTTGTGAAACAAAGAAGCAGGAATTTGACATGAGATTGAAAAACCTCTTGAGGTCTTATTCCAAGTACCACTATCAGCTTAAACAAAGTCAACAATATTGAGTTAAGAATGAAGATGACATGAACTGCAGAAATACAAATTTTAAATGAGGATATGATCGTCGTAGCTTGTACATTTTCTTTTCCCAATTCAGACCATGTGATGTTCTCCAGGGAATTTGCCTTTTGTCTTTTCATTAATTATGTATACATATGCACGTGGATGCATGTGAATAAGACAACATTTGACAGAAACAGTTCTCTGGGGTACCATCGTCACATGGTGTGTAATGGGAAAACAAAACATACAAGCTAAAAAGATCTATTGCAAATTAACCCGAAAAAAATTTCAGGACTTCAACGGAATCCGAACCCATGGCCTCTGCGTTAGCGCTGCAGTGCTCTAACCAATTGAGCTATGAAGACCTATACATCGGCAGCAGGCCAATTTGCTGAGTTTAACTTAACCCGTGAATGGAATGAAGTAATGAAGATGATGTTAACTGATCTTGTTCATAATAGGCAGGCTCACAGGAAGCGAAGTTCGTTAAGTAATACCCGTAAGGAACAGCTATAGAATACCCTGCCATGTTAAATTGCGTAATGAAGACTAGTGGTATGCGGCAAGCCGTGAAACTATATTCAAAACTCTCAAACCTTCAAGTCGTCATTGCCTCCCTCGTCCGCCATTTTTAGAATTTTTTAATGGGGCCTGTTGTCTGGTCCTGGTGAAAAGTTTTGTAACCAGGCCTTCGATGCTAACTTGGTAGCCACCCTTGGAAAAGCAAAAAACAATCTTCCTCGTGTACAATGTCGAAATATAATTCAAATATTTTGCCGCATTTTCACAAATAAACGAAGGTTTGTATTCTGTAAAAGCAAAATGGCAGGGACTTCTACAGCTAATTCTTTATTTTTCAGTCGTTTTTTATACTGATTTAGGAACTGGATTTTTCGAAGAACCCCAAGGAATATTCGAAGCTTCGTCCACGAATTGCCTCCCACTTACGGCTTTTTTTTCGTCGAAGTCGTGTTCATTCTTCGCTTAACGATCTGATGGCCGATCTGAATCTCTCTACGGAATGCTGTTTCACTCTGTGGATTACTTTACTGAACATTTATCCTCATATTGCAGGTCGCTGTTTGCTGTTCAAACAAGATCTGTAGGTTGTTCCTACAAGTGTACGTCGTTTTCCATCTCCACGGTTTTGCGTGGTCTATTTCCTAGATTGAAGCTTACAAAATGGACGAAAGGCGGGAAGACACCGCTCAAAGGTTCTGAACTTCATGTATATCGTTATTCAATGTTGCAGTGTTGTTTAAAGTGTTTAAGTGTATATGAAAGTACAGTAACAAATATGTTGATTATCTGCCACTATCACATTGAGCATTGCCGATTAAAGATTCATGCCCAGATTACTCTCTGTGGTCAACATAAAGGGCTCATATTTTATCAACAAAATCTTTCCTAAACTACAAAGATTTACAAGACGTTTCACTCAAACCTTTGGGGTTAGTGTCAGTACGTTAGAGGTCTCTCGTGTTGTATGGCATAAACATTCCAAATGAAGTGGCCTATCTGGAATCACATCAAGTTACAGCAGAGAAATTAACCAAAAAGCATTCTGGTAGAATCCATCAGCAATTCGTTTTAAGCAAGTCTTAAAAGGTAAATATGCCAAAGTCACAGGTCATTCCGTTATTCCTGAGGTGAGTAAGGTCAATAAATCAGTGTTTTTTCAGTGATACTCATTCCTTCCATCCTTGGTTTGAAACACTGATGTAGGATTAAAGATGACACAAGTGATCTGCGGCGAAGCTCAGATTACAGAAGCAGTTACCAAGATCAGGATGGGAGAGACCGTGATCTTGAACGCAACATTGGTCGTGAGCTGAGCCGTTTTAGGGATGGTCGGTCTGATACAAGAGAGGACCGACGGAGAAGTCCAGATTCAAGGCACAGGGCTGGACCAGATCCATTTGGTCGTGACAGAGATTATTACAAGGAAAGGGAGCGTAGCAAAGAATCAACAAAAAGTCGAGATAATGGTTATGATAAGACCAGTTACAGCAGAGATCGAGACAGAGATAGGCACAGGTCTCGTGATAGTGATCGTTATGAACGTGATGGACAGGATCGATACAGAGATCGTTATGATGATGATTACGATAAAGAATATAACAGAGACAGGGATTATAAAAGGTCACGTGACAGAGACAGAGACTATGATAAGGCTAGAGATCGTGACAGAGGATATGACAGGGATCGTGACTGGGACTACAGCAACAAGGAAAGAGCAGGATACAGCAGAGACTGGAGTCGGCAGAGAGGGGATTCAGAAGATTATAACAGTGATGAAGTTGTACACACTTTCCTTGTCTTTTATGCATGATATTTCAAATTCTGATATAAATAACCACTATGATTTACACAGAAACAACAAAACAGAACAGAAAAGACACAATTGAACAAGAATCTTGTGTGCATTTTGCTTTCTAAGTACTGTAATAGCACCAAAGATATGAACAGAATGGTGAATGATTATAGCAATTAGTGTTACTTCTGTTATTGTAACAGTATTTTTTGTTCTTTCTTTTTTTTTATTGAGCTGTGCAGCTAGGATAACACCTTTCGATTAAGAAAACATTTTGTTTTTCAGAATTAATGGAAATTCAAATTTCTTTTACTAAACAACTGGAAACAAAATTTTATATCTTCTGTTCTTCTGTGATACAACTCTTCTTAGGTCTTGTATGAGAATTCAAGCAAAATAAAATTAATGTTTACGGTATTTTCTAACTTTCAACTAAATAATCAACATTATTTACAAACAGCATGAACTCAGTGATCGTGATAGAGACTGGCAAGACAGGGACTATTCTCGTAGCAGGTACTCACGACGTGATAGAGATGATGATGACAGAAAGTGGCAGGACAGTCGTCAGGATGAGCCCACTTCTGTGGTTATATTACATGGATTGGATAAAGACTTTAAGGAGGAGGATGTGAGTATGGCGGCACGCTGTGAGAAGTCATAAAAAAGAGTATTTAGTGACCATGCAAGATAAACACATACATGCATTTTGTGTGTAGTTAATCTGAGTGTAATTCTACTTGTGTGTTTTTTCTGCATACCAGTAAATCCACCACACTTCTTGCTTTTTATATGCATGTTAGTGCTGCAGTGTCCATAGCTTGTATATCAATGTTGGGTTAATGGGACATTCATAGGTTATCATAACTTGAATCCCCATAACCTTTACATCTTGATTAACACACTGAATGTTGTAACCCACCTGTGTTTTCCTGCAGATGATGGAAGCATTACAGAGAGATGGTACAGAATATTTAGATCTGAGAATTGTTCGCCACAGAACAGGTAAATCTGCATAAGACATCTAGTTTCTGTTAATTACCAGTACTTACAGAACTTAATGTTCCAGTACATGAAGTCTTGTGTTCTCTGTTTTGGAACAAAATAGAGACTTGCATGTTAACTGTATTATTTGATTTTATTAACTACATGTACATGTGCAATATAGGTATTTCAAGAGGATTTGGGTTTTTGGAGTTCAAAAGTGTTTCTGAGGCTCAAGATTGGATGGAGAAGCACAGGGTATGTTCCTACAAGTAATTGTGGATGAAATAAGATAAATAATAAATGAATAATGATTTAGTGATAGAATATTTCATATAGTGTTTATTTACCTACCGTTCCGGATCCATTTGGAATTTAAAAATGTTGGTTGCTGGTAAACTAGAGTACAGAGTTATACCTGGAAAGAAACCTTGTGGAGCAAGGTCAAAGGCATTAACATGGCCTTGCCTCTAGGATTTGAACCCAAGCCACTTTGGTGGAAGGTAAATGCTCGCAGCTTGGCACCACCATTGTCCACTTGATGAGCTTGACATGGAAAATTTATCTACCAGTGTCCTTAATCTTGCATTAAGTTCTGAATCTTTTTACAATTGACACCATAAAGTAAGTCACATTACTTTTTTAGGGTCGTTATTATGTGCATGGACACACAGTCTGTGCTGATTACAGTAGACGCAAGAGTAATGCAAAGACCATTGAAAAGGACTGGATTTGTAGCAAGGTACATGTTATAAGTTTTCCGTAATACTAAATTTCTATACCTTCCATAATGCCATGGAAACGTTTCTTTTTGATAGCATTTAACCCATGGCAAGTCTTCACAACATTATTTTTACTCTTTCTGTGTCATAGTGTGGTGGCCAAAATTTTTCCTCAAAGATGCGTCTTTCTTGTTTCAAGTGCGGAGCACCAAAAGAGGTTTCAGGTCAGTCTGAGGTCTGACAATGCCATCAATAATTATTGTTGAAAGAGCAAGTTCACTGAGCTTTGCTGGATACCTGACAAGGGTTTATGAGCAGGTGGAAATATGGGAACTAGCAAATTAAAAGGCGATGTCAGTGTTTTAGGGAAAGAGTTAAGACATCATCTTCATAGTTTGAAAAACTATTAAGATTGGTCTGTTTGTTTGTTCTTTTTTAGATTTAGTAGATGACAAAGAGATTTTGAGTAACCCATGCAAAGGTTTGTCCTGTTTATGCTGCCGTCTTGGTAGTTTGCTGTAAATTAATGGTGTCAAGGGAATCTTAAGGATTTTAAGTGTCTTTTGGATGGTTTTACAGTAGTTATTTTTATTACTACAATGTATACACTGTAGTTGTAATTCTTGACCTTTTATTTCATCAGTGTTGATTCTAAAAGGCCTGGACACGTTAACTCATGATGAATCAGTAAGATGTTTTTCATTTATTTTAGACATTCAGTTGCTGAAATGAAAAGATTAAATGCACGAGTTCACACTTCACGATACACATGTGACATGGCTGTTATTTATTGTATGTTATATGGCAGTTGTGTAGAAATGCTGAAGGCCTAGTGGAAGTTATAAGAACTAAATTACCATGTAACACATGTATCGTTAAGCAGACCCCAAAATGTACCTAGAAGTATTATATGAATTTCCTGTTGATAAAGTGCAATTCCATAATGAGTTTCAGCTCTATTATATCTTATACCAGGAAGGAGCCATTCACAACATAAGCAAAGTTACTGACAAGACATTAATACTAAGAATAATGTATTTTATGTAATTATATATAATCCATTGAAAAGATTTTTTTATACAATATTTTAGTTTTTGCGTTAGCATACAACATCACAAAGATTTTATCGGTGTAAAATTTGTATAATTACCGCCTAAATACATGTACGATGTACCTTGCAGTGACATAAGTTCACTAATCTAAGTCTATTTTTGAAATATTGATTTATTTTTCCTTAATTTTTTGTGACGTTGTTTTGTATTAGATTCGAAAGGCCCTTGTGGAGATAACGGCTCTTCCAGTCTATGATGTTCGGTTGATAAGAGATAAACTTACCAATACATCAAGAGGATTTTGTTTTGTGGAGCTTGGTTCAGTTGAGGTAAACATAAAATTATCCCAAAACATCATTTTGATAAGGACTCCTGAAATCAGTCAATATTATAAGGGACAGAAAATCCTACTTTCAAAACCACACTAAAACATTAATATGCTTTGATCTTCCAGGAAGCAAGTCAATTACTAGAGATCATCAGCAACATGCATTTTACTATTGATGGGAGAATTGTTACTGCATCTTATGCAAAACATGATAATCCACCTAAACAAAACAGGTAAATAACATCCATAATAATAATAATTAATAATTAACTACTGCTGAAGTTATTGATATGGTCACTAAATCCTTTGTGCTTTATGTGCTCATGACTGAATATGTTATGGCAGCTGGCAGGGACTCCATAATAATAAAAATAATAAATAATAAAATATTTATATAGCGCTTATACTTTTCAGTGCTAAGCGCTTAAGACTCCATTTTATGAGACAGTGAACATTTTATCCTTCCTATTTTTGTCATCCTTCTTCATAATTACCACAAAGCGGACATGTTATTTGAGTCAAGCTGCATGTGTTTAGCAAGTTCTATGATTTCTGCTTTCAGTGCTACAGCAGCTACTGCTGCCATAGAACAAGCACAGTGGTCACAAAAACCCACTACATCACAGGCTCAACAACCATCCAGTGTTGCAGCCAATGCTATGGCTCAAGCACAAGCTGCGGGTACCATGGGAACAGTAACAGCCGACTCCCATGATGCTACTCCCTATCAACAGTTGGTCAGTTTGTAATTATTGCTATTTATGTCAGATCAGTGTTACCTTCATTTTTAAGACGATCCCTTCACTTCTCTTTTTGGACCCATTGATAGATCTCCAGCTGCATCTGGGCTGTTTCTTAGGAAGATTCAATATATAGATTGTCAGTATGTTAATGACTGGATCCGAGAGTTCTTAACTACGCCGATTGCAAAAGCTAGGGATTGAATTTTTTTTGGTGACTGTTCCCACACTCCAGTATATAAAATAATCTGTCACTGTTTTTTTTT